AGGCAAAAACTTAATGGCAAATCCACAGTATATACTTGCTAAGCACTTACAGCTTGCACGTTCAGGGAATGGTTACCATGATGGTTAATGAACGCTTCCTCATGTTCATGAGGAGCTATAATATGAACAAAAGTGCAATCTATAGCACCTATGGCACCTTCAAATGGCTGTGCAGCAACTAAGAATTTTTCACGTGCTCGCTGTCGATCCTCTTGGGTCATTGGGAATTTCACCCACCTACGCAATAAGCGCCGGTTGATTGCATCAGTCACGGCATGGAGGCAACGACTTGTTGTAGTTTGGCTAACATTAAATTGATATTGATTGCCGACACTTCTTTGATAGCTGCCTTGAGCATAAAATTGTATAGCAATCAGCACCTGTAATAACAATTTCATCTAAATAAACTTTGGCATCTCAAGGAAATTACATTTCAATAAATTTACATCTGAAATATTTTGCTTTCTCAGTACATTGTAATTAAATAATGTTAAGTTTAATATTGCAAGCCATTATACTAATTTTGCTTTAATGTTACCTTTGTTTCTGGCATTATGCCGGTAATTCGTATGTTCTGTAAGTCGGCCCGTATCACATTCGTTATTTGTATAACAAGTTCTGGAGTAAGACGGAAATAGTCGATGAATTCATCTCGTGGCAGCTCAAAAGGATTTTGAGCATCTCTCAGTAGCCTTCTTTCTACACGTCGTTCCAGCCGATGTGCCCTTTCCTCCAGAAGTATCATTTCCCATGCTAAATAGTCAAGGGCCATGCTCGCTCTAAATTTTAAACGTTTATTTACGTATGCCAGATTAAATTATGCTTCAGAAAATATGCTACAAAAAATATATGCGGTTGACGCGTTAACGATTTTATAGAAATAAGAATCATATTACAATATTGAAAGAAATGAGTCTATTTCACTTCGACGAGACATAATGTTAAATAGGTTACGAAATATTAAGCTGTGCACACAAATCGACTCTGTAGAACCAATTACTATAAAATTTTACTCACCGATTGCCTTGAATGGAAGAATATCGTTTAAGTCACACAATATTTTCCAGTACACGTTTCTTGACATACACGGTCAGGATTTTATCATACACACCGACACTTTTAACTGACGTTAAGCTATAGCGAGGGGTGACGGACCTCTCGTTACGATAGCGACACATAACAACAAGCTCACCGGCGTTTCTCGGTATCGATAGCGAAATTCGTTAATACTCGCTTACAGAATCGCATTTGTCGTTACGATAACATCTCGTTCTATAACGAAACGAAAATTGTCGTTATGACCACATAACGACTACATAACGATTTACAGAATTGCACTACAGCGCGGGCGAGATTGCGTGACTCCGTTCCGATGAGGCTGGGCTTCGGGGCAGTTCACGGTCCGAAGAGGTAGATTGGAGAGTCCAAAGATAAGCGATCGTTACGACTGAATGCTCTCTCACTGAGACTGAGAAAAAACTGCCGCGTGATCGATCGTGAGACGATATCAAAGCTGTCGTTTCCAGAGCGATCGAATATCGACTGACTATCGTTTCCAACGTCTCCGGCGTGACCCGGTATCGGAAGTGTTTTGGGACTTGACCGATGACAAAAATATTATTGAGTTTCACTAGCGCGACGCAAGTCATCGGTCGAATCCTACGCGGTGCCGGCGATGATTTTCGCGCGAGGCTCGATCAGCTGGCTCGAACGGGGTCATCGACCCGCGTTGCTCGAGACGCTTCTGCCCGAACGCACCGCGATTTCGAGCGATACATCGAATCCGAAACACCGTATTAACATTCAAAATGCTACCCTCATTTTTATTTTCTGCATCTGTCAAAATTTCAGCAATTGCTCTTTTTCTATTTAATTTGTTGAACGCCGGTCGAGAGAGATTTTGCGTTTTTATTCGATGTGGTTGGCAATCAAAAATATGTGGAATTACGTCTTTCTTCAGTTTCTTTCG